AGCAATTCAATCCATGCGATTCATTTTGTCTTGCTCAACGAGGAAGTTCAAAACTTCTTTCCTTTTTCGCGTCTTTTCTTTTGGGGAAGTTTTAAGAAACTTTTTCAAAATTTTCTCATCAAGGGAAGTTCGAAAATAAAAGTTCAGTTTTCACATCTTTCTTTTTCGGGAGAAAGTCGGTACCCTCCACTCATGAAAAAAATTAACGAAATTTTTTTCTTTTGCTTCTTCGTTTGCTTGTGTCTACACACACACATACACACACACACACTCACACTCACAAGTCATACACATGTCATGTCACATCAAGTCAAACTTGGTCAAGTTAGTGGTCAAGTCAATCACAATGTATACGAGTCCATTGGGAAATTTATTTTTGCAGGTCTCATCTACAACCCACGTCCGGGGACAACTGGACCATATACAGCCCACGTCCGGGGACAAGCGGACCATCTACAGCCCACGTCCGGGGACAAGCGGACCATCTACAACCCACGTTCGGGGACAAGCGAACCATCTACAGCCCACGTCCGGGGACAAGCGGACCATCTACAGCCCACGTCCGGGGACAAGCGGACCATCTACAACCCACGTTCGGGGACAAGCGAACCATCTACAGCCCACGTCCGGGGACAAGCGGACCATCTACAGCCCACGTCCGGGGACAAGCGGACCATCTAAAGCCCACGTCCGAAGACAAGCGGACCATCTACAGCCCATGTCCGGGGACAAGCGGACCATCTACAAGCCACGTTCGGGGACAAGCGGACCATCTACAGCCCACGTTCGGGGATAAGAGAACCATTTACAGCCAACGTTCGGGGACAAGCGAACCAACTACAGCCCACGTCCGGGGATAAGCGGACCCTCTACAGCCCACGTTCGGGGATAATCGAAGCATAATCATTTCATGACGCAAGGTTCTCGATACACAGAGACTTGCAATCTCATCATCAGACAAGTCTTTCCTCAACCATGGAAAGCATTATCGGTGGATTTCTTCAAGCATAGAAAAAGGCCAAAATCATATGTCGACTTTCCTCACGCATGGAAAGTGTCATCGGGTAGGTTTCTTCAGGCTTAGAAAGCTACCAAACTCATCTGTCGGCTTTCCTCAAGCATGGAAAGCATTTCAACAAACGTCGTCCGGTGGATTCCTTCAAGCATAGGAAAATACCAAACTCATTTGTCACCGATACACTGGTGTCAGATAAGCGTTCTATCCCTTTACTTTTTTATCTGTGGAATTAACATTTTTTGTAGGTATTGGCGTATATAGAGTGATTTAGGATCGCAGAATGTCTTAAATCATTCTCCGTCTCTATCGACTACTTTGACTATCGTTTTCAAAACTGACGTTTCTACAAACTCAGTCAAAGTGGGGTCTTCTGTAGACACCTAAAAATGTCTCCCCAAAACCAAACCCGATGATGAACAACCTTTCATCGCCATTATTGGTCGAGTTGAGTATTTAATCTTTGGAGATCTTAAATCCATATTCAAATCCATATTTCCATTTCATAAACCAACCCAACTTCTAGCCCATTTCCCCAAACCATAACTTATTTTCCTCTTTTCGTGCCTTTAAACCCAAAATAATTCATTTCGTGTCCTTTAATATCATTCATTTCGTGTCATTTTTATAAAAACATTTAGTTCAGTTTATTTTGGTCTATAATGTGGGTCCAATGATTTAATAGTTGGATGGGGATTTAAAAGAGCTTTCCAAAGAAATATTATAAGCCCAAATCCGAGTTATAACGAATAAGTTATGGCCAAAATATTAAACTGAGCCCAAACCAAACCTAAGCCCACCTTACCTACGACCCAAAGATCATGTGGAGGGTCCAAATTATTTAATCCCATTCTTAAAACAATTAGGATTAATTAGAATCTTCTATAAGTTTATAAAAGATCTTAATTATCCTTTTGAAAAGATAAGATTAAAGAGTTTGAAATTGAATAAAACTTTTCTTTTTGAAAATCCTATTTTTATCCAAATTGAAATACGTTCAAAGATAGACAGATATTATTTTCGTGCCTCATATTTTTTATCCAAATTTTATATTGTTGGATATCCCTTGAAATTATCTTTCCAGTGATATATTATAATATCATATTTTTTATCCAAATTTTGTATGCCTTTGAGATCGCAAGAATCACTTTTCACTATAAGAATCGAGTAGAGGCCAATACGGGCGAATGTGACTCCATGAATCACTTCGTACCATCATCCCCGATCCTCCTTTCGTGGTTCCGAACCATATGGAGTTAGTAATCTCATGGATTATGAATGCGGTGTAACCTTCACGGGTCAATCGTTGATGCCTATCGTTGTCCCTTATTCGTGGTTGCCTTTTATGATCCGTGAACGGTTTACAAGTTCCTTAAAAACTTGTTGGCGGCTCCCTACTTTATTAGTCCCTAATCTTATTATGTCAATTCCCACTTCCTATGAGTGCTAACCATATTCACACATGCTTTTACGTAGGCGCACTTCGAACGACGCCTATACACCTAGTAGGAATTGCAACTAAATACTGGAATGCATCTTCTGATAACTCTTTAATCTTTGTCATATGCACCTTAAAATCAGCCTTACAATTAATGTATTGATGGAATTTAGATGATTATGCAAAGAACAGAGATATTAATTAAAATATTAAAATATAAGCCACATACCCTAGTTGTTGACCTTGCAGACTTCCAGAATCACCCTTTAAAAGCCTCACCACCAAATTTGAACTTGAAATTAGCCCAAATGTGCCTTATACTAAACCTAATTTCAACATCAGGAACCACAACAATAAAACTTTTACAGTGTCTGCATTAGACAAATACAGTTAGTTAACATCTTACACATACACTCACCACACAGAATATGAAAATACAAAGTTTTTTTTAACGGTAAGGAAAAGGGCCTTATCGGGCCGGAACCTCTCACAAGTCCAACCCCACCCGGGTTAGTGGGCAAGACAATTTCGGAGTGACGGGCCGGGCTGGGTAAGGGATTAAGGGAATCCCCACCCCAAATTGCCTCTAGTGGGGTTTGATCCCATGATTGTGAGGTGACAAACCTTACCACTAGATTAAGCTTTACTTGGTTATTATTTTACCTAGTTACATATAACTTACATACAACAAAAAGAATAAGGAAAATTTGCCAAAAATAACACCACCTTTTGGCGGTTTCCCAATAATAGCACCACCTTTTGATTGTTCAGAATAACACCACCTTTCACATGTATTTGCCAAAAATGAAATAAAATCGGTTGGTAACCTGTTTTACAGGTTATCTGTGATACGTGTCACAATGTCATTGGTCATTGGTCATTTTTTTTATTTAACTATTTTTTTTTTAAAAAAAAACCTAAGTAATTAAAAAACAAAGTTAAAATTGAAAAAAAAAACCCCACCACCTAGCCCCCCTGCCAGCCTCTCCCTGCCAAGCCCCCACCCTCGCCGCCGCCCCCCCTCCCCACCCTCGCCGCAAATCGACCTCCTCAGCCTTCCCCCTCCCCTGAACGACATCCCTCCACCTATTCCCCCACCCTTAAACAACCCGCCATCGCTTATGAACAACCCTCTTCCCCTTCCCCCCCCCCCGAATACGAAACCCCTACCCCTTCCTCTACCGCAAATCGGTGCCCCATCCTTAAACCCATAGCTAAACGACATGAAAACAAAACCCTACCCAAAACCACCTCCCCGAAACCCTAGCCTACGAAAATTAGGGAGAGAAAGCCGAAATTGAAAAGGAAAGGAGGGAGGGGGCCGAAATCAGAAAAGGGAAGCGGGGAAAAGGCCAGAAAGGGGTAAGGAAGGGGAGAGGGTGGTGAAAAGGAGCCGAGAAGGGGAGGAGGATGCCGAAAAAGGGTAGGAAAGGGGAGGGGATGACGGAAATGGGCCGGTAAAGAGGAGAGGGTGTTGGAAAGGGGGTCGAAAACTAGGACAGGGGTCATGGAGAGGGTGGTTTCAAGTGGATGGTCTTGGTGGGAGTGGTGGATGCGGGTGAAAGGGGGAGGGCAGAGGGGCCGAAAAAGTGGGAAGGAGGGTTTAATTTATTTTTTTAATTTATTTTTTTAAAGTTTTTTCAAAAATAAAAATAAATAAATTAACCAATCAAACTAGAACACGTGTCCTAGGGTTACCTTTTATTTTTGGCAAATACATGTGAAAGGTAGTGTACTGTTATTCAGGAATAATCAAAAGGTGGTGCTATTATTAGAAGACCGCCCAAAGATGGTGTTATTTTTGGCAAATTTTCCAAAGAATAATACATTATTTTACATTATATTCACTCTATTGCATGTAGATGATTTACATATGATCGAGTGTAATTTTTTAATCTATAACTAAAGTAATAACCGCTAATAACACTATTTCCAAATGTTTCTTGCACATTAAAAAAAATATTGCAAAAACTATTAGTGACTTACTCCCTCCGTCACTTATCCTCATGTCTATTTCCCATTTTTCACGACAATTAAGGAACTTAGAGATTCCTTAAAACCCATGATTGGGAAGTACATACATGTAGGGTTAGAAAAGAGATAGAGAGAAAGAAAATGTAGTTGGTAATTATTGAAGATATAGAGAGAGAAAGTGTTGAAAAATGATGTTAAAAGTATAAATATACATAAAAAAAATAAAAAAAAAACATTGATGAAAACTAATCAAAAAGAGAGAATATTGTCAAAAAATACATTCTTCAAATAGAATTAGGCATGTAGTTTTGAAACCCCAAAAGGAAAGGGGTGTTGTTATTTGTCGCTCCCATTTTACCGGGTAACGCTCCCTTTTTTCTTGAAATTCCAATTTTACCCCTAATATATAAATACGGTTTTTTCCTTCCCGACCAACATTTCTCACTTCTTTACTTCTCTCTCTAACTCTCTTACTCTCTAACTCTCTAAAACAATTTTTTTTTTAAAAAAAAAAATTCAAAAATTGTTCTTCATTTTTTAAAAAAACAACAATCATCATAAATACAAAAGAAAATGTGTGATTCGAGGCGGATTAGGCTGAGATTCGGAGGGAGGACCTTCGGCGGCGCTGGTGGCAGCGGCGGAGGCGGCGGCGATGGTGGAGACGAGGTATTTTTTTTTAATTTCGGATCCCAAGAACTTCCGCCCAAAATTTCCGGAAGTTCCATGGAGGATCCGCCTGGAATTTCCGGATCCTCCATGGAACATCCGGAAATTTTGGGCGAAAGTGACATCCGCCCAGAGTTTCCGGATGTTCCATGGAGGATCCGGAAATTCCAGGCGGATCCTCCATGGAACTTCCGGAAATTTTGGGCGGAAGTTCCATTTTTTTTTTTTTTTTGGCCCGTTAATAAAATTGTTAATTTTTTTTTTCGGATTTGTTTTTTTTTTGTTATTTTGAAGTGTTATGGTGATTATTGTTGATATTATTATTATTGTTGTTGTTATTATTGTGCTTATTATATTTTGTAATGTAATTATTTTAAAAAAATATGATAATTTTTATTATTTTGTTGATATTAGGTTTTTATTATTAATGTTAAGGTTATTGATGTTGTTGTTAATTTGTTTTTTTTTTTTGGATTTTGTTATTTTTGTTGTTATTTTGAAGTGTTATGGTTAGTATTATTATTATTATTGTTATTATTATTGTTGATATTATTATTATTATTATTATTATTATTATTATTATTGTTGTTATTATTATTATTATTATTAGTGTTATTATTTTTAAAAATATGATTAGTATTATTATTAAACTAATTTGATATTAGGGTTTTTATGGTTATTGTTATTGTTTTTTTTTTTTTTTGTTGTTGTTGTTGTTGTTGTTATAATAATATTATTATTAGTGTTATTAGTAGTACTATTATTAATATTTTTAATTATGATTATTATTATAGTTGTTGATATTAGTGTTATTATTATTGTTATTATGGTTATTGTTGTTGTTGTTAATTTGTATTTGTTGTTGTTGTTGTTGTTGTTAGTTATTGTTGTTGTTAATTTGTATTTGTTGTTGTTGTATTTGTTGTTGTTGTTATTATTATTGTTGTTATTGTTATTATGGTTATTATGGTTAATTGTTATTACTAAAATCGGATTATTTTTTAATTTTATGTAGATCGAGGGTTCTGGTGCTCGACATGCAATATCACGACGTCTGAATGCGTCTGTTAGGAGACAGACATCTCGATCTTCACCGGTTCAGCCCGAGCAGCAGCAATACGGGTCTACTAGTGGTTGGTCGAGAGACCAACAGTCTGGTAGTAGTCGGCCCTTGTACTCTGCAAGTGGAGCACCCATATCTGACGAGGAAGACGAATGTTCGGCTAGTCATGCTGGTGACTGGGATGAAGAACAGGACCCTCAGGATTTCCATATGGTATATAGGGGTCAGTTTGGGAGATTTGTTGGTAGTGGGTCGAGTCAGCCTACTTCCAGCTCTGCAGAGGCATGGTTAGTGCAGGAACCGATGCCGGGTTGGCCTGAGGATGGGTCAGTTATCCCTAGTTTTGGCGGTCACGTGGCACGGTATATCTGGATGGAGCAGGAGCGTAGTGTTTTGCGCTGTTTGAGTAGGACAAAGTTATGTTCTAACTTGTTCACTTGGCGAGGCCGTCAATCTGTGGAGGATATTGCGGCGATTGATGCTAGTTGGTTGTCTCACTTGCCCGGCCTGATGTTTAAGAGACTTGATTGGCCGTTGATTTCTGCTTTTGTTGAGAGGTGGCAGCCAGATACGAACACCTTTCACATGCCATTTGGGGAGATTACGATCTTGCTGCACGACGTGTACAACATACTTGGGTTTCGGGTTGCAGGCAATATGGTGTCCACTACTCCTAGCACGGACGTGTTACGGGACGCGTGCTCGGTCACCATGGATATGACTCTAGATGATCTGTCTGAGGTTTGCGGCACAAAGACCATTTGGCATGGTAGTGGGGTGTTGACCGATAAGATTTTTGAGTCGACATTGGCGGTCGACCGGGATTTTAGTGAGCAGCTTGATGCATACTTGTGGTTAGTGCTTGAGGTACACTGTTTGTAGACAAGAGTGGTAACCGTACGCATCCTTCCTTCCTCCACGAGCTATGTCACACGGATGTCCCTATTAACGAGTATGCTTGGGGAACAGCTGCACTAGCCTACTTGTATCGGCAACTGGGCACGGCATCACGGAAAGGTGCTGATTCGATTGCTGGTTGTCTCACGCTTCTACAAGCGTGGGTTTACAAGTACTTTCCGTGCTTTCGGCCACAGCAGGGTACCTTGACCCGGGACCTTCAAATGCCTCCTGCGTCTGCTTGGGATGTAGGAGAGGGATGTCCTAGCAAGAACCTGGAGCGCCTGTTAGCTTTTCGTACTAGGATTGATGCGCTTACTGACCGTGAGGTGAACTGGCCACCGTACGGAGCTGATCCTGCATTACGAGTGCCCCCCACTTTATTCATTGGCTGCATCCAGTACCATAACATCATTGAGCCGTACATGCCTGATAGAGTGGTGCGCCAGCTAGGTTTCGTGCAAGGCATTCCCCGCGAGATCATCAGGCCAGAGAAGGCCAAGAGGCCGACTAACTTGAAGATGTATTGGGTAGACTTCCCGACTGAGATGACAGCTGTGATGTGGAACAGGTTTGTCCCTGGGGTATCTTAGAGTGTTGTTTTAGGTGCCCTACCCAGGCTTAGTGCTGCAGCTCCTTCGGTTGCGCCCGGTTACATGCAGTGGCTGTACAGGTTTTCTCACCCGCAGGTATCTCCAGGTCCAGGAGTTACAAGCAATCTGCCTGAGCGGACTAACACTGATTACGTAAGTATTAATGCTTATTATTATATTAACAATGACTTCTATTAATTTTTGTGTTATAATATGTTATTGTTTGATTTGCAGTGGATGGGTCGGTCCATGGAGATTCACCAAAGAGCACTAGTTGAGTATCCTGAAATGTCGAGTGAGACTCGAACAATGACTGAGCAGCTTGTATTTGATTGGAAGTCAAAAATGGGACTTTAGATTATTTTGATTAGATGTTCTGTTAGTGATGGTTTTAATTATGTTATGAACTTATTTGTATTTTATTTTTTAAAATGTAATGTATAAACTGGACACTTATTTTATTTTATATTTGATGTTTTGTTGCATATCATGTTAGATTAAAAGCAAATACATATAAAATTAATTTCATAATTCTAATTTTCTTACAAATGTTCAAAGTTAGTGAATGTACATTACAAACTACCTAACTAATGCATCCCACATGTCCCTTCTCAACTGATATGCTTAATCCCATCCATTGACACTATCCTCGTGGTGTTCCGTCCACCAACCGGCGATCGGCGGGAGTGGTGAATCAGGTACAAGGTCAAGACGGATAAAATGTGATCCACCAACTGTAGCAATCACAAACTCTCGAGTCGGTGACCGAACCCCGTTGCGTGCCCTAAGAGGTAAGACTGTGATGCATGGGTAGTAGCAAGTTGGTACTAGGCCTACTCCGAGACAAATCACCCTTGCGTTGAACCACGTAGCAATAGGAAATAAATCTTGAATTGTAACCATCCAATGCCGCTCCCCGACAGCCCCACCATCCCATCGAATACGCTCCACGTTCATCCAAAGTCGCCCAAGCCCGTAAATTCGTTCGTACAAATCAGGATGACCAGCGACCTCGTTCGCTATTGTTTCCCGAGCGTCAAACCACTTATTTTGATTGCCAAAGAAGAAGTCGGCGACACAACGAAAGCCACAGTTTCCATCACCAATGACATCCTTCCAAGACGAAATGTACGGCAACATTGGGGCTGGAAGCAAGTTCAAATACCTGCATTGACTAATGTCACTTGGATCTACAACAAAAAATTAAAAGATAAATTATTAGTAAAGCTACAAGTATTAAGTTTACATATTTTTATATTAAATATAGAATTTTAGTATTACCTGGTTCTCGGTCACCACCACGTTGAGTGTGTTGACGGTTCACATGCTCGAAATAGCTACGATCACGCCTGGTGTTATTTCTTTTCTGTCGACCACGAGTGTTAAGGTTGATATGTGGTTCTTCAAGGTGTGAATGATCTGGATGTAGCTCCTCTTCAATGATTCGCGTTACATTTCGACGTACGGCCGGGTCACTTTCCATGACTTCGTCGATTAAGGACCGAAAATGTGCAGCCTCCTCAGTCGAATCATTTACCACTTCAGGAATGTTAACACCATCACCAATAACCAGTATCTTCCAGAAAGAATGAATTTGGCTGCTATACAATCCTGTCTGTGCAACTATCGAATCATGTATCTGGCAAGCACATGGAAGACCATGGGTCAAACGCATAGCACATCCACACCGTTCATGGACCTGGTAACTCAAATCCCGCATCCTTTTCGTCTCGTTATCTAGAACTTTCAAGCAATGTTGAGACACTTTGCCATTTATACGTGACAGTGGCAACTATCTGTACATCTGACCAATTTTAGACCTTGATGCCTCCAAGTCATTACGAATTTGTATGATGCGATTACCGATATGACAATGGACTCGGGCCCATACGGTATCCAAAGCACCTGCCAATGATTCTAATTAGTAAATTCAAATACAATTACAATTAATACAATTACAATTACGTAACAACGAGAACAACTAATAAAATAATACAACTAACCTGTGGATGATTCTAACCAAGTTTTCACTACTGAATGTTGGCTCTCAACTCTGCAGTTGGTGGTGTTACCAAAATGAAGAACCTGGTTCGTCCAAAATTTCACAAATTTCTCCTTATGACAAAGCCAAGTTCTCTGAACATACTGAATCACTTCCGGATATTTTCCCCACCTCACTTGCATGGAAGTTAGAGCACGATCATACTCCGCCTGTGTTGTTGCATTCACGATTTTGAACCATCTCCCAGCTCTAAAACTGACACCAACCGTCTTGTTTCCAAACATCTTCGTCACCTTAGCCTCCACATCTCTGTTGATGTGCCATAGACAGAGTAAATGTGACGTCCCTGGAAAGACTTCTCTCAAAGCCGCACATAGCCCAAGATCACGGTCTGAAATAAATACAGATGGCTCTTTATCAAACCCAATCAACTCCCTTAATCTCTGCAACACCCACCGATAGCTAGCCGTGCACTCGTCGCGCATGAAAACATATCCAACTAGAAAATTCTGGTTTGTCGGTGTCACGCCTACTATCTCAAAGAAAGGCATGTTATATCGATTGGTCTTGTAAGTAGAATCCATACCTATGACATGTGGGTATGTGCGGAGTATGTTGACCATGATCGGGTGCACCATATATGCATGTTGCAAAACGTTGTGATCATCGTTCGTGAACCAGTAAATGTATTTACTCTCTCTCGCCAGATGAAGAAATTGCTGAACAACTCCTCTTCCTTCGGACATCTCCATCCTGAAGTCATTTCGGAAATTGTAAATGTGTCGGATGTTTGGATGATCATCAGGAAATTGCTCGGCAATAGTGGACATGATGTTACGGGGAGCAACCTTGGACTTTGTCATGTCCCGCACAACCTGTTTTGCACCCGGACTCAATCCGCTCACTTTACGGTGACCCTCTGGGTACACAATCATTGGGTGGTTATGTGTCCCGGTGTGATCATTTTTCGCAATGATCTTCCAACTTACGGTGCTGACATCATAATATATCTTGATGTAGAATGGACAACCATTAGCTTTGGTTTTGGTGTCCTTCCGTATCGCGTTCTCCAAATCTCTCGGCTTGCTCCTTCGTGACCGATCACATCGCAAATACCGATACGGCCGACCATCTCTGGTTTTGTTATAAGACGATTTCACCAATATAAATCCCAATTTTATGGAAACACCATCAGCCCATGTAACAACATCGTCAAATGTAGGAAAAAACGTATCGGTGACAAAATTCCCACTATAATTCACACCGTCACCGCCTTTCTCAGATTCCATATCCTATACAAATTAAACAAAACATGTTTTATGTCAAAATAATAATAATAAAAACAATAATAATAATAATTATAATTAAAATAATAAAAATAATAAAAACAATACTAATACTAATACTAATAATAATAATAATAATAATAATAATAATAACAATACTAATAACAATACTAATAATAATAACAACAAATACAAAACAATAACAATATTAATGATAATAAAAAAATTATAACAACAACTACAAAACAATTTATAAGACCATAACATTAATTAATAAATAAATAATAATAATAATAACAATAATAATAATAATAATAATATTAATATTAATATTAATATTAATATTAATATTAAAATTATATTTCTACTAATTAATAATAACAATATCAACAACAACAACAACAATAAAAATAACAGCAACAACAACAATAATAATATCAACTACAACAACAACAATAATATCAACATATTACTAATAATAACAATAATAATAATAATAATAATAATAATAATAATATAAATAATATTAATAATAATAATAATGAAACAAAAAATAAACATATTACTAATAATCATATTAATACAACAAAATTACATTAATTATCAAATACTAAATCACAACAATAATCACAAGACCACGAAAAAAAATACATAAAAAAAACTTAATAAACATAAAAAAAATTAAATAAACGTACTTAACATTTTAAAAAAAAAATTAATAGGGACATCCGCCTAAAATTTCCGGATGTCCCTAGGTACATCCGCCTGAAATTTCCGGATTTACCATGGAACATCCGGATTTTTTAGGCGGATCCCATCTTCCGCTTGAAATTTCCGGATGTTCCATGGTACATCCGGAAATTTTAGGCGGATGTACCTAGGACATCCGGAAATTTAGGCGGATGTCCTAATTACCGAAAATAAAAAAAATATATAAAACTTACAGAATGATCCGACGCATTCTCCGGCGTACGTATGTTCCACTCGCCGTCCATGACCCAAGACCCGTCGGAAAATTTAACGATTTTTGAAAATAGAAAATTTAGGTGGTCGTGGGGACCGATTTGGTTGCAAGGTCGTGGGGACCGATTTTGGGAAGCTCGGGACAGCAATGTCGTGAAGTAAGGGGACCGTTTCATGTATTGTGTCCAAATGGGGAACAAGGTCCTTTTTATAACCCAAATTGCATAAAGGGCATAGTGGTCCATCAAGTAAAAAAGGGAGCGTTACCTGGTAATTTGGGAGCGACAAATAGCAGTTCAGAAAGGAAAGTAGGCATGTAGATAAAAAATGGAGAGAGGTTTTTTTTTTTTTTTTTTTTTTTTTTTTTTTTCTCAAGATTGAGACTAAGAAGTTTGTTTGCATTTCCTTAAAAGTTTTTTATGATTAAATTGACTAAATAAACACTTTTCTATGGAGTAAAAAAATTGTATAAAATAATTACACCATTACAAACAAAAATGCAAAATTTTATATATATTGCTAAATTTTTACATCGTATGTGACTAATTATCTAGCTAGTATAGAAGTGAGGTGTCAAATTGGGTTCAGGTCGGGTGATGTCGGGTTTCAAGTTAAATTCAAGTCATATCATGTCGGTTTTTTCTGACTTATAAGTCGGGTTCAGGCCGGGTTGGTTCAAGTTTGATTTGGATTATGACAGGCTTTATATCTTTTCGGTTGCAGTTTGGGTTCTATTCGAGTCAATATTGGGTTGTGTAATGCTTTGGGTTCGATTTGTGTCAAGTTGGGTTAATCACAAGTTTGAAACAGGTAAATTTCACCAGGTAATTCTTAGACAAGTTTTGATAAGATTAAAGCACAATCAAGCCATGTCATTCTTAGGTGGCTGGTAAAGGTGTCAATTCGAGGGATCGAGGCAGGTTTGACGAGGTGAGGTCAAATCGAGAAGGGTCAAGTCTAATTTCAAACTTAAGTCGTGCTAAATTATTGGGTCCTTGCAAGTCAGTAAAATCTAAATCAGATATTTTTTTTATTCGATTTCAAATCGGGTCAACAGGTTAGGTTTTAACAACTCTAGGCTCGTGACAAATATGAGTCGAGTTAAGTAGTAGGTTATGTTAGGTGTTTATTATTTAAAATTTAATCAAGTTGAGTGTTATTTCGAGTTCAGATTATAATGTTAGGTCGGGTTAAATTGGTCGTTGGTCAATATCCATTCGGGTTGGTGATAGGTTATAATCAATTTCAGGTTGTAAACAAGTCAAGTAAAATCGGGTACGGATAATAATCACGTTGAGTCAAATCAGATTTCGGTTAATATAAAGTTAATTACAGGTTCGGGTTTAGGTCATGAAGCATCAGATCTATTCGGTTACACGTTAATGTCAGGTTTGTTTCGATTCAGGCTACATGGCACCGATTTCACCTATTCTTCGAGTACAAGTCAGATATGGATCATTGTCGGTTTAGGCCGGCTTTTCAGGTCGGGTCAAAATAGGATTTACACAATGGAACACTTATTAGTTATTACCAATGCGAACCAATTGTAAAAATAGAAGTGGCTTACAAAATTATGTTGGGCATCCATATTAACCAAGTACCTAGGCTTGAATGTACAAGTTTCCAAGTGGTTTCCTTTCCTCCTCTTTGAATTGAAAATACAAAAGTCAGCTTCTTTCCCTCCCAAGACCAATCTCCACAATGGCTGCTTTGAAAAGTTGATACCGTGTATTCCTCGTCTTAATTAACTCTTAATTTACTTCTTACTATTTCAAAAAGTCTTACTCAAACACCTTTCACAATCATCTATTCAATGCCTGCCTAAACCTATCCTCACTACGGTCCAACTTTGTTCCAATACCTTCCGTCCGTTAAAGTTAGTCTTAGTTCATCCTTTTTTTTTTTTTTTTTTTTTTTTTTTTTTTTTTTTTTTAAAAAAAATTTTTGTTAGAATTTTTCTGTTATTTTATTAAGTTTTTTTTAAAAAAAAAAAAAATTTGTCAAAAATAATACAAACTTTCAGCAATCCGTTAAAAACAAGTTAAACTTTTGATTATTTCTAAATCTAATTATATAAATAAAGTAGGCATTTTTCGGAAGCATTTGGCACGCCACATAAGAAAAATTATTATTTTGTCCAATGAAAAATTAGGTTAATAATTTATTTTAGAATTAAAAAATTTACTCGCCACCTAAGCAAAAGTGACGAATAAGATTTATGAATTTTGACACATAAGTAAAAGCAACGAGTTGAGAATAATTAAAATTTAAATTATTTTTAAAAACCAATAATTATCTTCTCTTAAAAAAAATTTGACCTAAGTAATAATTATCTTTTTTACATATATGGATGCAAATTTTTGATCGCAAATATATTTAATCTTTCCCTAGCAAATAATTATAAAAGTTTTATTTTAATAATGTATTCATAGAGACGAATAAAATTAAATCTCATATGACTAATTTCCAATAATTTTAATAGTTAAACGATTATAAATGAGACTAACATTTTAAACAGAATGAGTATATTAAATAAACGCATAGGCAAAAGACTTATTTTCATCAATAAAAAAACGAGATTTGTCATTTATTTTTTGAATTAAAAATTTAAATTGTCACATAAAATAGTTAAAACAACAAAAGATAACTTTAGTGTTAAAATTAAAAAATTATCTTATAATATTAGAAATTTTATCCATACATTTAATGAATGATCTTCATAAATATATAAAATTTTAAATTAAATAAAATAATTTACTAGAACTGTGCATCGCACGGGCTTACATCTAGTAATACATACTTTGAGAGGTTTCCGCCTAAAACAAGTTGTAACAGGTTAGTAACTTGATTAGAAGATTATACTGGACACATGTCAAAATTTTATTGGTTTAGCACTTTAAATTTGATTTTTAATTTATTTATTTTATGTTTTTTATTTTTAAAAGATTATTATTAATAAAAATATTTTTTACAAAAAAAAAACCATTCACACCCAACCCAGCCACGCTACCAACCTTCCCCTGCCCTCCGGCGCCGGTCACGCCTAGATCCATCCTCCACCAGTGCCGGTGCAGACCCTTTCTCCTCAGTCGTGGGTCGCCCCCCTTCCCTCTTCCCCCTAACCACCAACTCTCCACGAAACTACCATTCCTCCGCCCACACAACCCCCTAAAATCCATCTCCCACACCTTCGAAAACTGTAATCAGAACCCTAGAGATGGTGGGGAAGGTCCGGTGAGAGTTTTTTGGTGGTGGGGGGATATTTTTAAGGGGTTTCGTGGGGAAGGAGGAATATTTCGGAGAGAGGGTCGGATTGTTGGTTAAGGGGAAGTAGGAAATGTGTACGCGTGACGATGGGGGAAGGGGTCAGCGTCAAGGTCGGAGACGATGTGTTCGGAAGCATCCGGCGCCGGGGGAAAGACAAGCGGGCTACTGCCAAGGCGCTGAGGAAGGGGAAGGGGTGGCTGGCCTTGCAGCGGTGGCCGGTGGGGGAGTTGGGCAGGGGTAGTTTTTTTTTTTTTCAAGAAATTACTTTAATTGTTAAACATAATTAAAGTTGTAATTAATAGTTAATTAAACTATTAAACGAATTTATTAAAAAGATAGTATATTTAGAAAGAAATAAAAAATTAACCGGTCATTAAGGTTACAAGTTAAATATCTTGTTTAAAGCGATAACCTCCCAAAGTTTGTATTATTTAGAAAGAATTAAAAGTTTGACTTGTTTTTAGCGGATCGCTCGAATTTTGTATTATTTTTGACAATTTTATGGTACGGAGCAAAATATAACTTTGATGAACATAACATTTTTCAAAACGAAACTTGTAAAACATTAACAGAAATTGTATATTAAAATAGTATAAAAGTCAAAGTAAGATATTTATTTTAAAATTTTATTTGTTATCAATTTCATTTAACTTAAATTTAATGCGATAATACCATTAAAATGACTATCACACTAATTTTGATTTATTTTCTAGGAAAAATGGAAATTAAAAATCCAACCTTTGCACTTTTTTCTCCTAAAAATCCAACCTTTA